CTGGAGCACTTTCATGAAACAAAATTACTAAGATAAAAAACTGGAAACATATGAACAATAACAACAAACTTTTCTTTACATACTTTCATTTCCACGTCGTCGTCTTTGTGACTTTCTCCGGCTTCTCTTTCGTCTCCTTCGTCATTGTCGTCYTTTTCATCTTTCTCTTCAGATATTTCTCTGTCCGCCTCCATTTCACTCTCGTGTTGYTCTTGCTCAAGTTCTTCTTTTTCMTCGTCTTTTTCTCCAGAGGATTCTTTGTCATCGCCAGAACCTCGTTCAAGTCGCTCATCTGGTTCGCTTTCATGTCGGATATCTTCCTTTTCGTCAAATTTATCTTGCATAAGCTTTTGTTCGTTCTCATCTTTGCCATACATAGAACCGTATTTCTCTTCTCTATCTTCTAAAGAGCTCTTCACTATCTCGTGAATTTGATCAGGATGCTGAGTCTCTATGAAAACTTCCCCTTCCATGGACTACAATGAAGAAAGATGAAGAGTGAGAACTATTTTTAAAACGATTAATCATAATGTTGAAAGTTGATAGCGGACAGTCGGACAGAAAGGATCTCGAGGAACTGATGTGAAATCTTTAATCTCGCCTAGAAGCTAAGTAGCTTGGAGGCTCTCTTATACTAAAAGTTCGAAGAAAACGTCATCGCGTGCTCAAGATTACCTGAGACATCCCATTGTGCGCTCCAAGGTACAGCCTGACTGATGGATACGAGTGAATGCCAGCTTGATGGCAAACGTGATAATCTTGTTCGCAATTGACTTTCCCGCATCTAACTTTATCACCAAGCATCTAAAACAAAACAACCAAGATATGAAATAAAACGAAAATATCAGAAACAGCAGAACTATAGTGTGAGTGTCAGTGTGCGATTTGGACAAAAAGATAAAGTTTTCTAAGTAAAAATGATATATTTGAGCACAGATTAACCGACTTCGCAGACTTTTTAGAGTTTTCTGTCTTTCTATCTAGGAAAGACCAGCCAAATTTGGATTCGAACCCAATGATCACACAATTACTAATAGGACATTCTACTTTTTTAAATAAAGTTCATAAATACATCATTGATAACAATGTGAATGCAAGCAAACCTTTGCGACTCTTTCAAAATTAGGAGCAAACCGCATACAAGGGCCGCACCAGGGAGCATAGAAATCCAGCAGCCATGGCTCTTCACTAGTGAGTATTTCACCAAAGAACACATCACTAGTGACGTCCGTGACTATCGAGGGTAAGTGTTGGTACGCCCAGATATAGAGAGACTCCACATCACGCCATCCTTGATGAACTCTAAAAAATATCACTAACACTGTGAGAATAACAGTAGGTAAACCACAGGCTGACAGGCAGGCAAGCCAAAAAAAAAACATGTAAACAAAAGGCAAAACAGGGGGAAATACAGAACAAGAATCAAGCATACAAATAAAAAAAAAAGTAAAAACATAACAAACAAGCAAAACAAAACAAAACAAAAAAAAAAAAACGAAAAAGAAACGAAACAACGCGAAAAGGAAAGAAAGACAGAAAAAAGTGAAAACAAAGAGAAAACTTCAATACATGAAACAAATTGTGAATAGCTAGTGAGGGTAAAGTTAACAACAAGAAATCAAGAGATTTCTTGTGACTTACACATAATCCCAAGAACCAGTGCTCCTGTGTGAGTAAAGACGGATTGTTGGGTAAGAGCGAACGTTCTGCTGCGAGCAGAACGACCGGTGTTTAACGCAATCTACGGATCCAACGTGAGCATCTCCCTTCAAACGCTGTGAAAAAGAATAAAAATACACTGTTGAAATCGCGAATCAAAAAGAAAGAAAAAGAATTCCATATTCTTCGCTTAATAAACTCCTTTCTCGTTATGACGTCATACGATAATCGGCGARAAGCACTATGGGATTCACGAGATATTATTCTTCCAGCGAACAAGAAGTATTACTTTACTCAGTTCTTTGAGTGTTTGTTTGTCAAGGTTTCTTTTATAAACTTTCTTTTGCCATTTTGATTTGCAACATTTTTAGTGTTATTCTAAAGTTTTCCCGACAAGGGAAAGCGTTGAAATCACATAAGAGAAACTTAGTCCAGTCCTGGCCTCTCGTTTCCGACTGGACTTAAGAGAAACTTCGTCCTCAGCAATTTTCAGAAAATGTCCGCCATACTTTATCCGCAATACCATAATGCACTTCGACAAAGCAAGCATGACRTCATAAGTGTAAAAGATCACTACCTTGGCGAGTTTATTCCAATTYGGCATCAGTTCCTGACAAGGACCACACCAAGGTGCATAGAAGTCAACAAGCCATGTGTCGCCATAGTCTCGCTGACTGACCAGTGAGTGAAATGTTTCAGGATTCAAGTCAACGACCGACGGGCTCAGGGTGTTCTGRWACAGAGTGAAGAGAAGGGARAATTAAGKTGATGAATGRARAGAAAATGGGAAGAAAGAAAGCTTACATGGAGCACTACTCAATGATTATGAAAGAAAATCAAGCAGTGATGAAAAAATATGAATAGGAAATAGAAAAGGAGGGAGGGAGGAAGAAAGGGACAGATGGCAAGGAAGGAAATCTAAAGAAATTAAGAAGACAGAAAGGTAGAATGAAGGAGTTGKGAGATTGAGTTGGGAGGGAAAGGGATAGCAAATAGCGAGAGAGMAGGATGRRAAGACAGACCTTTGATGCATCAATCAAKTTACGTAGGAAGGCAAAGTAGGAAAGAASAGGCAAGAGAATGGAGGACTAATGCAGGWCACAATATTGAACATATCTCCTTACCTCAACAAAGTCAATCAAGTCACCTGCAGAGTGGTGCCCACTAAACTGTATGGGTATCGTGTTATTGTACAGGATGGTTGTCGGGTAGGAGCGGATATTGTACTACAACAACAAAACACAYAAACTCAGTGTGAAATATTTACTGCAAGCCAAAAAAAACCCTGCATTCTCATACCATATGACATAGATTGACATGAACAGTACAGTCCACAGTCCCAAATCCAATRTTGCGTTTTCCAATGAATGAACGAGAAGCCTTTCGATACTCAGGCAGTAGTTTCATACATGGTGGACACCACTACAAAAACAACACAACCAAAGCAGTTTAGATGATGTTTCAGGTATTGACAAAACTGATTAGCAACGTCAGTTGGTATTTCAGTCCATTTATGGAATACTTACAGGGGCAAAGAAGTCGACAAAGAAAGGCCTGTTGGGGGTTATTACACCAGGAAAGTCATCTGGACCAAGAGTCTGTACATTGGATGCTGCACTCTCCTTGGCAAACACAGCTATATCATGGGCAGTAAAACGACCTGGAAATAGAAAAATAATTAACTATCAATTAATATCCTTAAAAAGACACTCAGACAGTMCTTATGTCTAAGGTGAGCTCTAAGGAATATTGGTGAAATCTTATTAAAATAGTAAGGACAGTAAACTAGTCATTCCATGTTTTGCAGCATTTGTGGTTAAAAACCTTATAAAAATACTTGAAGAGTTCCTGTTATGTACATTCAAGACATCCCAAAACACTGCAGCTATGAGACTCAATACAATATCACATATAGCATCATGTGTTTGTGTGAAAATGACCCCACACTACAGTAATACATCTATACTTGATGCAAGACAAAATAATGTCTCAAGTGTCCGTCTAAATTCTCATTTAAACATGAGCCTCCTAAAACTGTCACCCCTGTCCGTCTCAACATGCAAGGAACCATGTCTTATGACCACACAGAGTCACATTGCTAAAGAAGTCTAAATACCATACTTCAGTAACTGTATACAAAACTTACCATGATGCCACTCAAAACCACCTCTTTTAAACAAAGCAATTCTTGGATACTTAGTGGCATGAAGTGAATCACAGAGTTCCTTTGAACTCGAGCAGTCAACATGGCCAACCTGGGAATTTAATTAGTTTTAATGTGGTGGTTACTGCATAATGACATCTTCTTAATGAATCTTTAGTATTAAACTCAGACTGATCAAGATCATGGTATTGGTATTGGTAATGGGACCACTGCCAAGGATGGGTTTTAGACACAAGTAAAACAATATATCCCCAGCATTGATGTGCCAGATATCTGTTAATACCTTCATATCATTTAAAACTCCTGGTATCTTCTTTATTTCTAACCCAGCAGCACTTCCTCTGTCAAAATGAACCAGCCATGGTTGTTCACCAGTTTCTAGGTTTGCTAAAATTTCCTAAATTAAACAAAATCTGTTAGCTTTTAGACTTGCTAAATCCTGAACGTCATATTACATGACCATGACAAATACCTGGAATCTAGAGTTATCTATATTTTGTGGGCCAGGCATTAACTTTAGAACTTGCTGGACTATATCATGTGTTTCTAAGCTTTTAATAACCTGGAAGATAAATAATGGTTTTAACGTTTCACGTGGAAGTCAAGTAAGACAGTTTAGTGTTGACTTACTATGCCCTTTTGAGCTTGTAAACTGTTTGATTTAAAATATACAAGTTGACCATGGTAACCAAGAGAAGTACACAAGCCTTCRTCATGTGAACAATCTACAGAACCAACTTGAACTAAATTTTCCTAAAAACAGAGTGGGAACAAATTTACATGGGATTCTGTAAGACACTGAAGTAAAGTTATTAAAAACAATTACCATTATGGATGCAAGTTTTAGTTTAGTATCAGCTAATAGACAATCTGAAATATAAAAGATATTCAAAGAACATGAAATTCAAAGAACACTCAAACTGAATGTGGCTCTTGTCAGAATAWTTTACAATGAACATGTACAGTTCAGCCAAAACAGCAAAAGCCTTCATTAGATATTATACATACCTCCAGATGGATCACAAAAGTCTATTAACCATTGTAGRTCTGAAGAAGATGTCTCTGTTTTAAAATTATCTGTGAATTTAAGAAAATAGTACATGTTATCATCAAAATTACCCAAATAATTCAATTAATTTAACCTTAAAGTACATATAATCATTGAATTAAAGAATTTTGACCTCTAAAACAAATAAAAAATATCTACCAAGAAGTATTATTTATTAAATGTACCTTTTGTTAATTCCACTACTTTAGCATCTAAWGCATCCAAGACAAATCTAATTAAAGCTCTTTCTGTTCTTTGTCCTCTATATAAATGTTGCTGTGAAAGGTTARATAAAAAGAAATTGATTGGGACATGGACTTATGAAGGCCTGAAATCTTGACTGCATGTAGGAGAAAGGCTAGTTGACAAGCAGTTATGCCAGTGGAGGTAAATTCCTAAACAACAATTTTAGTATCCAAACTAGAGCAAGAGCTCAACAGCTACAGTACACGTAGCATCTACAGGAGTACATGTAAGATCAAAGAAATACAAGTCTTGTTAAAATAGAGACTTGTGCTGGTTGCATTGTCATAAATTTCAAAATGCATGAAAATAACTAAGAAAAACAAAAAATGTCATCACTTACAGATGGATATAATACAAGAGATGGATAACTTTGAATTCTTTGTTGTTGACAAAGAGCCCAGTCTTCCTGGCAGTTTACTGCACCAATTCTAATAACACCTTCAAGCTCCTTKGCCACTTCTCTCCACTGAAAACATAACAGAGGGCTATGTTATAGAGGCATGACAATATACTTCAAATACAAATAAAAGTCTTATGATGATGTTATCAATCAATAAACTGTTTGCCCATCTCGATTCCTTGAGAGATATTTGGTTGTCATTCTACAGAATGCATTGCTAAAATTAAGTAAAGACTTTTCAATATGCCTTAAACAAGCTTTCAGTATTTGACTTGGGTCCTGTTCATATAGGCATATTTCTGAGTATTTTGCAGAAAAATCATACGTTTATCCATGACAATATAAGGAAGAGATGTTTAACTCCACGACATGCAAATGATGGACTTGTGGGYGTCTATAAAATCCAGATGAGCAAAAGCTGAGCCTATCCATGTTTCTAATCATACTCACTGTAGGTGCCAAGTCATGGCAATGTGAACAGAAAGGCGAATAATAATTTATGAACCAAATGTCATCACTTCCATCAACAGATAATTCTGAAATAAAAAGGAAATGACAAATATTTCAACGAGTGTTCAATTTCAAGGTGATCATACTGGCTAGTTACTATCTCCACCATCTAGACAGACAGTGTGGGGCTAGCAAAAAAAACCTCATGTAACAACATACAAGATGKGAAAAAGGGCTCCTTCACTTAGAAATGAATCAATCTTAAAGATAGTGAAATTTTATTCATTTTCTTGCTTAGATCCCTTATGCATGATGTCAAAGCAGATTCATCTCAGGATCAAAACAAATTTTTTTTTTGCTCTATTGTAGAGCACATTTTAGAGTAATTAATGCTTTGWATCTATGAAATTGTACTAAATCTGCAAGGTTCATACAATTTCATGGATTCAGTACTTTCACTCTACACGTTTTTTAACTTACGGAAATCTGAATAACTAAGTGTTATAATTTCTGAATCATCATCATATAGTCCTGTAAAAAAAAGAAAATTATCATTATATTTATGATAAAATTAAGAATAAAATCAAGTTTCCTTGGCACTTTACAGTGTCTACATGATAATATCTCATAATTTATGCAAATTATACAATAAAATGATTTATAGTAAACTACAGATTTTATACGTATCGCATAATAATGGCATCACAACAATACCAAAACGCAATAAGAGGAAAAATGAATATCAGCTTTTTAGTCTTTATATATTTTCAAATCTTGAAAAAGTGCTCATAAAATTGTCAATATAAATTCATTTGTGCTATAATATTTAATTTCTTTACCAAATTCTTCATTGAAATAATTCCAGCTTTGATAATGATTGCTAAAATGATTTTCTTTAAGACCCTCTTCTCCATAGGTATCATATTTCTTGCGAAGATCTGGYTCTGTAACAAGAAACWAAATCTTAGTCAATTTGAAAACATTTGATGTGGCAACAACACAGGGAGCCCAAAACTGGTATTTTGTGKGTTTTCATGATTTTTTCTTACTACTTGGAATTTTATTACTTTACAAGTGACTGTCTGCAACGTCTTGAAGTGGAATGCCAGAACTCCTGGCACCAAACAAAATATTTTATAGTGTATTTTTTTTTCAAAAATTTTGTAATGTCATTTATTTATTGGCAGTGTTAGATTTACATATTAACTTAGATCTGTGGTCCTTTAACCTATTGAAACAGCTGTTTATTTGATGAAAAATTTATACATGTTCTTGAATATCTGTTACGTATTTATTCAGGGAAACCTAAGCCTCATAAATTYTATACTTACAGTTATCGATTGATCTAGACATACGTGTCTCATGTGTGTGATAATTTTATTGCAGAAATATTGCGATTGAAGACAAACAATACGCAGGAAATAAAATAGTCCCAGTTTGAATGGATTTTATTACCTAGATTTATAATCGATTTAAACATGAAACCAAATCATAACAAAATGCTAAGCAGACAATTCATCTTAAGTCAACAGGTTAATCAGGACTGTCTTACCTTTAAGAACCTCGTACGCTCTATTTATTCTTAAAAACGATTCGTGTGCGTTAGGATCTTCCTGTGAAATAATAGTCAGTACAAAAGAAGCTGTCAAAAATGTAAAAATGTCAATGCATAGATTGTAAAAGTTTTTCTACCTTGTTCTTGTCAGGRTGAAGTTTTAATGCCARTTTCTTGAATGCTTTCCGGATTTCCTTGTTGCTAGCATCTCTGCTAATTCCTAAGAGTTCATAGTAATCTTCTGTGAGGACAGGAGAATATAATAAAGTAGAAAAGAAAATAAATAAAATGTTTCGTTTCATTGTTCAACTGTTCGACATGACTTGGAGACCGAGACCAACATTAATTACCAGTCTTCCATGACGATCGCGGTCTACTGTAYCACGCGTGCGCAATGAGTCCACCCACGTGTCATTTACTGATTCAGGCCGTGTTGGTATGACAACTGAACAAGCTCTGGAAAAATGGCGGGAATTATGACAATTATCAATGAAGAAAGACCAAAAATGAAGAATACTTTTAATCGATTTATCAATTTATGGCAGTTTYGTAGTAATTAGTTAATTTTAGAAGCCCCTTGAGTTTAGGACTGTCCGGAAATTCCGGGACTGAATAAATTTATAGTAAATCTTAAGGTCCTTAAGTCCGGAAATTTGGGACAAGGAAATTATTTTGGTTGATTACTTGGGATTCTAATAGAATTCTCTCTCTAAAGTGTTTTACCCTGTTAGAATGAGTAATAAATTTTTCAACATGTGCGGAATTTCAATGTCTGGTGAAATTCACTCCGGCGTACAGCCGAGTATTTGCCATCGACCCGCTGAATGACTGTCTATAAGCGAAACCCGTTAGAAGCGGTTTAAAAAACTGATTACGATCATAATTTGTAACAATACTAACTTTATTCCATAAACACTAATAATATATACATTAGATTGTTCTAAATTTAAGAGTTTAAAATACAATAGTCTTAGAAATATAACTATAACAAGATTATACAATATTGGACAAATCTTTGTACAATTTTAAAACAATATTTTTCAAATATATTTAAACAATTGATTCGTCTTTCATTGATAATATATATAGAAATAAGCTATTTAGTACCCACGATAGTTTTAAAAGAATTATTACGATTGATAGATTAGAGACTCAAGTGATTTATAGGGCTTAACAAGGGCCTAAATATTTTCGCTTCTCCAACGTAGCAACAGTAACTAGGGAGGTAGGACAATAAMTCGGGATCGGTCAATTGATTTATCTCGAGCATACAGATTATACTAAGACAAAGCAACTCACTAGTAGTTTCCAGTGACTCAGATGATGGTGATGATGATGATGACTTGTCTCCAGGGGAACGAAGGGAATGGGGAGAGGTCAAGTCAGATATTTGACATTTTTTCATAAGTGGACAGCATAATTCCGTCTTATGTGCGTTGACATGAAAACGATCGTCGTTTTCTTCAATTTTTTCAAAAATATCCGGATACGGTCATTTTGGCTTTTATAATTCATAAGGCTGATTTACACGGCACGATTGTCTCGTGCGATTTGTAGTATACGCAGTGTAAATGCCCCTACGACTTGTCTACAACAGTCGTACGCAACCTACGACTTGTAGTAGGATTTTDARHCACTGCTTAAAATCCTACGACTTGTAGTAGGAAAATCGTATACTACAAGTCGCGCGCGACAAATCGTACCGTGTAAAACAACAGTCGTACGCAACCTACGACTTGTAGTAGGATTTTGAATCACTGCTTAAAATCCTACGACTTGTAGTAGGAAAATCGTATACTACAAGTCGCGCGCGACAAATCGTACCGTGTAAATCAGCCTATATAAACAATACGCCTAAAAGCTTGAAAAAATCATATGGTTTTCGCGCTTACGTTAGCGTGACATTAAAAGTCCTCCTCGGCCTGCTGCGTGACACAATAGGTTTTTGCATGATCGAGTCAGTATAAATATCCGAGAATGCTGCGTGACACAATAGGTTTTTGCATGATCGAGNAAGGAGCTTTGCTATAAGATATAGTGGTGAACAGCCGATACGGATCAGACGAATAGATGGATGGCGAAATATTCTGCTGTTTTTGAAGACTGAAGAATTCCCAGCAGACGTAATCCAAGAAGGTGAGCTTTTGTTCTGATGTCGTCTCGGGTTCAACAGAGAGGAACTTTTTTTTATTTTTTCCTCACGGAAATATTGTTTTTGGTTTAGAATTAGTCAGAAAATGAATAAATCGATTGACCTTACATCAATTAAATATTCGTGGCTCTCAAGCAATTCAAATTTTAATCATTATTCTAAATGATGAATAATATTGTTTAAATAATCAATAAGTTTAACGTGAAAATAATAAAAGGCAAAGTAAATAAAGGAAAAGGCGTATATTCTCTGAATATACATACAGGCAAGAACACAGCATATAGTATTTGTTTACATTTCAAAGTGATTATAAATGCAAAATCCATTTTCTTGGCTTTGAAAGAGAATCCTCATTCAACATCCTTGAACATCACCACRATAAGAAAAGAGGGCACATTACATTCGCCGCGCTAATAACGAAAAGGAAAAAATATATATAATTAAGAAATAAATCTGTATCAACGATATTACTGGGTAATAATCACTTAATACTTCAGGAAATGCGCGAAAACGTAATGCAAAAGAGGTTAATTTGCGTAGAACTAATGAAAAATATGGAAGGAAACGTATTACTATGCTCTGTTCTCGTATTTTACGACAATTTGCCTGTTACTGGGAAACAGAATTTATTCAACGAAATGTTGGGATGCGGCAAGAACAAGGATTATGTTTAGTTCTATGTGATTATATGTTCATCAAGATATCAATTATCTGCGGCGTACCATGCCCCATTTATGCACAGTTTTCGCATCTCATGTAACTTAATTAATAATTCTGTCTTCTTTGAAAAACAAAAAACAAAAACAAACAAAAAAACACGTCAACCTGGTTGAAATGATGATACTTAAAATGATGATGATTACAGAATAATCCAGTCGAGTGCATTTAATCCTATTTTCTTTAAATATTTTATTTATTCTGAGCTCAAGTTATCTTTAAGATGTCTGCCTTTTGAATTTTTAACGTCGTTTTCACCCGAGTGACAATACTCTCTGGCACTGAACACAGCAGGCTGGCATTGTCATGGTAATTCGATATCGTCTGTCACGCCGCTTTGACCGAAGTGTTATTACGCGCTGTGTCTTTCGCTGTTTTCACACAACACCGGTAGTTCTTCCGCTACAGAGCGACGTGGAGTCGTTTCAACAGAATAACATTTCCATCTAAGGCATAAAGGTAAATGATAATTACTTTTCATATAGATATCTTTTCGAAACAGAGGCTTCTGGCTTGCACAACATCTTTTTTTGTCTCTAGTCTAATATTTAAATTCAAATGAATGGCACAGCAAATTTACTGATTTTAGCCATTCCAAGCTTATCACCATCCAAAAGAATAATACGTTTCTATTCAAATCGAGTCAAAGATTAAGAAAATAACCGAACAAAGATATGGGTTTTTATATTTTTTTAGTAAAAGATATCAGATATTGACGAGCGTGGACAGCCATGCAGTAGCCCAGCGGTTATTTTAAAAACGCCGCAGGCTTAAAATCATTTACTTTTTCTCACGTCTCTGAAAATTTTTAGAGTATCGATATAACAAATGAAGTTTTTAAAGAAAATTCATACCAGGAAGCGCGAGATTTTACTCAATTCTGTATTACTGTAATTCACTCTCAGTGCGTATTCTTCAATATTAAGGGGAMTGCGCGCCAAAAATAAAATAAAAAATAAATATAAATATTCGACAGGTTGACATTTGACGGACATAAAATCTGAATTCTCTCTAGAACATTTAGATTTATTGTTACGTTTCCAGACAAACTTTGTACATATTAAAATCATGCATTTTGTACAAATCATAAACTATGTAGTTTAAGGTATAACTCAATCATAGTTACAGTAGTTCCAAGGGAAAAAAACTTATCTTTTTGTAAAAKTTCACGGCATTGAGTTCTTTTTCAATAACTCTACACGRATTGTTGAATTGCTTTTAAAAGACCTTACGGACCGATGAATGCCCATATTGATTGATTCTCTTGGCTACAAAGACAAAACTCATTAAAGCTTAAGCCTTTTTTTCTCTAAAATGTAAATACATTAAATATCTAGAGTTATATACCACAAGCGACGCGATGAAATTCAACAGAAGTGCTTAGCCACCTGCCATTAGCAAGGACTGAATGGCGCCAACTTAGGAAATATAGGCAACAGGTGAAACAAATAACAAAAGATATATAAATGACATGTTTTATCAGCCTGACTTGTCTGTAAATTACCAAGCTAACACCAAACCGGGTATAATCGTAAGAGTATTCGTGCTGTGAGTGTCAGACGCCGATATAAGACACAAATTGAAGGCTCGTTGATGGTTGTTTGTCTATAAAGTAACTATAGTCTTATAGTTCGTTGGATTAAAAAATCCAGATAAAAATCCAGACTTATTCATTCTTATTCATAAATACTTCTCTTTGTGTTTTCAGATTTAGAAAGCCTTTCTTGTGGGTCAGTGGATGCTTTGCTTACATTCGTGTGGTTTTTGATTGAACTTTTTGTCATAAAGCAGTGCAAAAAGGACTACAATATGTTGGGTAGATCTCAAAGTTCCGCAAGAACTTTCCTTCTATCGTGGCTAACTCATAAACTTCCTCACCGTACCATTAACAACTTCGACGATGACTGGAAAGATGGAACCGCAATTTGCGAACTCGTAAACGCTCTGCAGCCAGGGTCTATTCAAGAAGAGGARTTCAGCGATAYTTACAATGGTGAAAACAATGCCAAACTTGGCATCCAAATGGCATATGATAAATTTGGTATCCCTCAAATTATTTCTTCATATGACGTTGCATCTACTCATATCGATGAACTAAGTATTATGACATATATTGCTTTATTTTGTAAGTATGAAAGCTTGGTTAAAGAGGATACCAATAATAATAAAACGACGTCTACTTTGAGAGACAGCGAAAACATACGAGCCGCTTCGTGCAAGGCTTACGGTTCTGGACTGCAAAATGGGGAATTGGGAAAAATCGCTGAATTTATTATTGAATTAAACGGCGCCAAAGCCTCTGATATTACCATTGCAATCGAGTGCAAACCTTCTACTGGCGGCCATGAAGAAAAACCGGAATTGAGCGTKAAATCAGTGGGTAAAAGCACTTATGTTGTGAAATACCTTCCATCAAAGCAAGGCGACTACATCATAAGCGTRTTATATTGTGGTGCACACATTCTAAGAAGTCCTTTCCATCTTACTGTAACTGGAAAAGTAAATGGTGTTATTCCTGGAACGAAAGAGAACATCCTAAAAGAAAGACTGCAAGACGYTCAATTCCCCTTTTACAAAGCTATGAAACAGGAAAACAGTTYAATGGAAAGTCCTCGAGAAAAACCAGAGTTAGTTGTAACCGAAGTTCGTGACATTCCTCTGGGAATTCCCATGAACACTGCTGAAGGGCCAGGACTGGTAGCCGGTGAGGTYGGAYGTGTTGGCAAGTTTACAGTCATAACAGACAACTCGRATAAAGGACCTCTYAGTGTGTGCATAAGCTGTCCTGCTGTTTCAATACCCGTTCCTTACGTGAAAACMGAAAAAAAGAAAACSTACACTGAACATCGCGTTCTGTACATCCCCACAGAACCAGGAACCTACGAAATACTTATCAAGTGGGGCGAGACACAAATACGAGGAAGCCCTTTTAAGGTTTTTATCAACGACGTCAATCAAGATGACGTAAGCTTGTCACGTGATGTGAGTTTGGAGGATCTTGGCGGGAAAGGCAAGATAAGGGTTTATTACGCCGCGACGTCTATGAAACCAAAGGTRCAGCGAGATAAACAGATGATGGAGATTTTCCTGAAAGAAAAGGGAATATCAAGCCTGTCTGACTTTGACTCTTGGATTGCGTTGGATGTGGGGATGACMAAACTTCAAAGAGAGAAGGTTTTTAAGAAGGCAGGTCACCGTTCTACYCCACTKTTGTTTGTTGATGACCAGTGCCTGGGGACATACGAGGATATTGCCATTATGGATAAAGAAGGACTGTTGGACTCTTACCTAAAATTACGGTAACATGTTTTACTTGTTCCGACATGGAGAATATATAAAAATGAGTACATGTATCGTGGAAAGATGATAGACACTTTTTGGCGTAGACCAGACATAGTTACAATCGTAGAAATGGAATTAAGAATAGAATGTATACTTCTAGCTACCTTTAATAGGAACCTGAACTCAGGATGAGAAATTAATTCCAGCGGGCATTGCTATCGTTACATTGGTGTGACGTTTATGTAGCGTACAATCGCTAAGTAACGCCCTTGCAGTGTAGAATGCAACCGTACAGTATTGAGGTATGCTAAGTGCAATTGGACGTTTACGTACTTGAACGATAGTTGAAATATTTAGTACATTAACGTAATTTCGTGGTTAAGTGCAGTCGTTACGTTTACGTACTTGAAGTATTTACCTTAACGTAATTTTAAGTACGTGCAATCGTTACATTACGTACTTGTATAGTAGAGTGCGTTTATTTCGTCTGAACCCTATTGCCGAGCTCAAAATCCAGATCAATATTATTTATTAGATTACTGATATTTTATATATAATGATTCGTTGGTTATAATTTATGACTTACGTGGCTAAATAGAGGTCGATTATTACTAGGAATTGGGTCTAGACTAACAAAGATTGTTTACAATAATATCTGTGGACAGACTCTACTCCAAAAAATATTTGAATATCCTACATTAGTATAATTATTTATAAAAGTAAATAGAACTTATGGACTTATCCTTGGTGAAGATGTCTAACAGCAGTGATTTGTAAAACTAAGAATAATATTTTATTGTATTATGAAAGAGAAATGAAAAATAGCTATTTAAAGGTAAAAGGGAATTAGAAAACTAGGTGGAATTGAAGTAGTTTTAAAGAAATTATAATTTATTGGAATAAAGAATAGCTTTGTATTTAATAAATAAAATACTCTTAAAATATACTCTTAAAAATTTTAATCGAATTACTTCATGGCTCGAAAACTGTGACGTTAAGTRCTATGTRCTTGGATTATTATKGGTTAGATTGTGACGTCATATATAGGCCTTTTCTGAAATAGTATTATGCATTGCATTATGGTTTAGGCTCGGTACAAACAACGAAAGTTAATGTAGCCAAATAGGGTGTTACTTGTACTGAATCTAGACCACAATGAACCATAATTTTATATTTCAAAAAAGGTTTATTCGGTGTACACCAAACAGAACATGACAGAAATATGATTTAATTTCTCATAAACTTTCATTGTTAAGTGCACCTCTTTGGCTGCCTTATTTTGTTCAGTTCTGTAATTTCCCGAAGGCGATGTAGTCCCATGACTGTAAACCAAAAATAGGGATCCGAACAATCAAAAGATAACGCAATCCACCCGGGTTTACATGAAAGTTAGTGATGGAGCAACTTATTATCACTCTAACCCTTTTAATGACTAAAAAAACAGGCTTTACCCCATTAACACCAACATGAACTAAGTTCAGGTCTGTAATCCCAATGATTGCCCCAGAATCCCGTACAAAGATATCCCCCTGGACCACGCGCACCAAAGTCCGGACCAGTGATGGTATAATCAGGGATCATATTTGAGAACGGAGACCTTGCCATGGGTAGAATTGTAGGCGTTGCAAGGAGAACAATGTCTTGTAGTCCTAGAAGAGAGTTCCCTGTCAAAACTAGAGCCAGTCCACTACCAGCATGGGGAGCAAGGAAAATGGCGCCAGTTCGGGCGGCCTGGTATCGACAGCTTCCTGTTAAAAAATAAATAAAATAAATGAGAAAGACCAGAAAACATATTCAAAGACAAGGGACTTTGGAAAGTAGTTCAAAGTTATGATTATCGCTAATGGTCTAGGTCGGATGGTCTTAATGACGTCATGCATATTTTAGCGAAATGCATCATGGTATTGACAGTGTCAAGATGGTGGAACTACGGAAGTCGCCATTTTTTCCGAAATAAAAGTTTTCTGTTGTAGAGAATGCCTTGGAAAAACATTAAATACGATGACTGTGCACTCGAGTATACTGAAGGAGAACCTTTCTGTAAAGTAAGCAATGATTTATATTTAAAAGCGACCTGAAACAACAACATGGTTTCAGTTTGTTCTTTCATCAATCCCATAGTGCATCTCGATGAATCGAACTACGTCAATATGGGGAAAAGACAGAGTATGCGCAAAAATGACGCAGTTAATTATATATAAGGTTCACGCTTACGTAATTCAATCTGATTTTCTCCAAACTTGATTGGAATGTTTTGTTGAAAACGACTTGTCCATGAATTCTGTTCTGGATTACCAATGACAATCAAGTTGTAATTATCGGCGGTCGCTTCGTCCAAGTCCTTATCGGTGATCACGTGAGCCAAGGCGTCTGACGTCAGTTGAAACTGATTAGCGATGTAAACAGCAAACTGACGAAGGGTGTTTGTCGTGCTTGTATCATTGACTGTCCCTTGATATCAAATAAAAATGTTAAAAACACTTACATGTGTAATTGAACTACACCTTATACTTAAAAGCGTGTCCAGGACATCACAGGTAAAGTCGCGTTGTGGTCTTCTACGCTTATATCGTGTTCAAACACGAATTCGTTTTATATTCCTTAAATATTCTCACCATTAAACACTATGATATAAAAACAGGGATTAAATCATTACCTGTCACGATCAAAAAAGGACTCTCAGCAATTCGACCAGCA